GGGATGCCAGGCCTCTATAAGTGGAATGAAAATTCGTCTAATTGAAGTAGCAGTTTCGAAGTAGAAGTGAACGATACCTACCACTACTTTATGCGTTACCCTCAGAACGCGTTCTAGAGTACTGGTCTCAATTTTGAATCATGAAGTTATTGTTCGGCGGCGGTATTCTAGAGGGTGACCTACACAGGTTGAGGACTGAATCTCAATTATTTCCTCACCGAAGCAAAACGCCTTCTCTGGAGAGGCACGGCAATTCTCAGTCGTTTCTGGCCGTGTGGTTCTGAATAAGCGTCAGGTCCAAAATGCATAAGCAACAGAAATGCAGGCGTAATTTTGGTGGTGGATCATTCGGACTGCACAGAAATCTGCAATCCAAGCTAAGCATCTGACGGATGGAAATACGATGTACTTTTGTGCACTGAAAAATCCATTTCCAAATCAAGTAACATTTTCCTTTTTTGTTACTGACTAGAGAAGCGGAGAGTTGAGAACAGTTTAAGAATGTGCAATAGTGCATGACACCTTCAAAGGACACATACAAATGATTCAAACAAATTGAATGTAAGGGATCTGAGGAAAAATGTTCGGTTGATAAATTTTGTGGTCGAAGGTTCAAGCGGGTCAGGGTATGGCGTCTCATACACTTAAGGAACCTATTATCCTGAGGATTGTGGGGCATAGTTTTGACGGGCTTAGTACGTTCTGTAGTTCGCTGAAGAATAGGACATCTTATAGCATACGACTGGACTGAATAGCTGAGATGGAAGGCCTGATACCGATAGGAAGACAGTTTCATATTTTCGGGAATTTATTAATCAGCAAGTTGACTCGGAGGAATGGTCCAAAGCTCTTGTTTCACCACTGTAAACTTAGCTGCGTTGAAAGTAGCAGCCTTCTGGTGAGCAATGGATTTCCTCACCTGCTTCGAAGGATACTTGGTGTAAACCCTTGAAGAAAAATATAAGGTTTTTCTTAAAACGTCTCGCCCAGAGTGGCTGCAGATTAAGGGACGTACAGCGAGATATGTGGTCCAGACCACGTTCGTGACCAAGTAGTCTATATGCAAGGTACCTCCGAACACCCTCAGTCTTTATTTCGTCATTTAAATGGATGATCTTCAAAATAAGCCTGCAGCATTGTAACAGGGGCCGAAAGTGGGTTTCGTATAGCATTAGTTTAACTTCATGGTTGTGAAAGTTGCGAGTTATGCAGCCTAGTAGAATCCTGGACTCACAAGTTTGTGTCGCAGCATATGGGGTCGTTAGGGTAACAGGGCCCAAAGTCAGGGGCGCCGCGGAGGCCAGACAGCATCACAGTTCGTAGAGATAACTGTGGACTAATAGAGGGTGCTCCTAGACACATCCATCCACATTATCTAAGTTGGATTGAATGTCCCACTTGGTGGACCAAGCGGTCACTAGGTCAAGTTCGCTCTGTACTGGCGTTTGAAAGTAGGGCAGGTAGTCACGCGAGAACGTGTATGTCATCATTAAATCATCGGCACACAAGCACCGTCTACCAACTGAAAACCATCTGAAAAGGTCACTAACATGGAGAGCGAAAAGTGGAGGACCTAACACGCCAACCTGGGATACACCACAAGTAAACGGCCTGAGTTTAGAAAGCTGAGACTTGAATTTTACAACTTTTAAATGGTCACGAAGAAAAGGCTCAATCCAGCCCAATAAGAGGTTAATGAGTTTAAGGTCATTAGCCTTTGAACAAGCAGCGAGTGATCCGGGTGGCTAAATGGCTTGGAGATATCAAAATAACGAATAGGGATCAACTGATGTTGGCCTGGGCTAGCGGCCAAAAATTTACAGAAGTCTAGATCCAAACCTCAGACTCTATGTTGTAGAGTTGGTGAACGGCGGCTCCTCGGGTTCTACGTCTGTCTTATTAGAACACATTCTGAGTTTGAAGTGGTCGCAATTATCTTCCCTGTTCCGAAAAACCTGAAAGGATAGATACACGATTATTAATTAATCCAGTCTCAAGGTAGTATTACTGCATCTGATCTCGGAAGGCTTCTCGGGTACAGCCCATCCGTACGGTAGGACTCGAGGTGTGCGTCTAACCCCCTTTTAAAGGTACCAGGGGATGGGGCTGTAACAACTGTTGAAGGGAGGGAATTCCACAGTCTACAGACTCTAACTGAAGATGAGTTAGCACGGATCTTTATACGTGCTCTCTCATGCTCTGTTCCTAACGGGTGACACCTCAGGTAGCGTTTCCGACTAAAGCTTAGAAGGGATCTGTTGGGATGGAAGGGATTATGAGCGATATGGTACATCATGATCATATACCCTCTGATCCTCCGGTGTTGTACTGTGTGCAGCTGAAGAGCGACTAAGCGGTCTGGGTACGGTTTGTGCCGTAACCCAATCACTTTCTTTGAAGCTCTTCTCTGTACCCGTTCTAGGATGGCAATGTCCTTTTTCAAGTATGGGGACATCACAAGCGAATTTTTTTCTAAATGAGGACGAATGTGCAGAGCATACACTGTAGTGAAAAGCAAAGGAGTTAGACACCTTAAAGCTTGCGAGAGAAACCCTAGGAATCCATGAGCCCTATTGGCTGCAAGGCGACAGTGAACGGAGGCTCCTAGTGTGTCATTTAGTGTAACTCCCAGATCTTGTACCATGTTAGAGTGACAGATATTTATTTCACCTAGAGAGCAAGGACTGGGACTGCCTTTATGTTTGTCAGCTATCATAATTCGACACTTCTTCAAGTTGAGAGGAAGCAGGTTTTCTGTAGTCCAGTTAGGGATTTTCGTGGGGTCCTCCTGGAAGACCGAAATATCCGTTGGCTCCTGTATTTCTCTCTAAACCTTCAGATCATCGGCGTACAATAGTGAACGTGAATTAGGGACCCCTGGAAGGTCATTGATAAAAAGAAGGAACAGCAATGGGTCCAGTATAGAACCTGGAGGCAAACCACTCACCAACGGGAATCAGTTAGATATAGAGGAGCCAACTCTGACCGCACCCTGGTGTACAGATAATCTCTAAGCCAGGTTAGTAGTTTTCTGCGTACACCCATGAGCAGGAGTTTCTTACAAAGGATATCATGATTCACCCCGTCAAAGGCCTTAGAAAAGTCAAGTGAACCGGTGTGTATAGGCTTTTTCTTCTCGACAGAGAGTGTCCAGGTATTCCGGGCTATCAACAAGCTGGTGTTACATGACCTTCCTGGTGGAAAGCCATGCTGACAGCCGTTTAGGATTGATTTCTTAAGTAAGCGATCACGAAGTGAGTCATTTATGACTCTCCCCATGACCTTCACGACTGAAGAGATCAGGGAGGCCAGTCTGTAGTTGGACGACAGCCACCCGTTTCCAATCAAAGGGTAACCTGCCTTCCAGAAACCAGCGTTTGAAGAGGCTTGCTAGTGGGGCACACAGAACTTCAGCACACTCTTTGAGTACTCTAGGGTGAATCCAATCAATTCCTGGAGACTTATTCGGATTCAGTTTCTTCAGTATTTCCATAATTATGGAGGGTTCAAACTCTGTGGTTTAGCCCATCTGTAATACGGGCGTCTGACATGCGTGGTTTTGCCTCCGAAATGATAGAAGTTGTTTTGGAATTCATGAGACAGTAGGTTCGCTACTTCGGAGTTAGAATGGAGGATCTTTAAACTAATGGGGTCCTGTACACTGAATGAACTGTTACCCTTCTGTTTCATCAACGAGTACAGTGTCCCATGATTCCCCTCCAGGGTTCTATAAAGTTGTGTCTGGTGATTTATTCTGTCATTTCTGACTTTTATTGTACATCTGTTAGGGGTGTCTTTATAGTTTAGCCAGTCAAAAGGGCTATTAGTCCACCTCCATAGATTCCAAGATGACCGTTTGCGCCGTATTAGTTTTTTAGGATTTGTCCTGGTGCGAACTTGACAGATGCAAAGACCAATCACTAATTATTCGGACTTGTTACATACCCACGAACACGAGACCAAGGAAGAACAGGATAGCGTAGTCGGATGGAATAGTAATTTGGGTGGCTGTGCCAAGATACCAATGCGTTCCAACTAGCTGGCTAGGGAGTCGATTACGAGCAGCGCAACGTAACACGACAGCGTGCCAAATGGCGAGGATGCTTGGTCGGTTGCCTTCAGCTTAGCGAGTCCAGTTAAACTATCAAGATCAGCATCAATGTTGAATGTCATCAAACCCTAGGCTACTGATTTTGTCGAAGTGTGTGACGCTACAGTTTGATAACTCAAACATGATCGTGACTTCAAGAATTCTTACTAACTAGGTGTGATGACATTATTATTGAGCATATGCTGAAGAATATCTTCCTCACCTACTTTCTCCATAATTCTAGACGCAAATGATTGCTGCATTGACAATAAAAGGTCAGAACTAAACCTTGAAAGCAACGCAGTTTTCAAAGTGGTGGCAGGATATGTCGAGACAATTTTCTCCTAATAATAAATTGCCTGTGGCTTACCTAAACAAAATGTCATCAGAGCAACTCTTCACAAATCGTAGTTATCAGGTTCTACCATACTATAATGGGACCTTTCGTGAACCAGGGATTAATGAAAGCGTAGACAAGCTTCAGGTGGGTTCACTGGATCTTTCGGTGTACACTTGTGAGTCGGCGCACGAAGAATCGGCCGAACTAGCAAAAACTCTGGAATACGAGCCCATGTTCCTCCAAAATTTCATTGAAAACTTAGTGAGTTCTATTGAGAACCATATGCCTTCCCTACTTGATTGCATCTATGCTTCTCTTGAATTTGAGTCTTCAGACTACTTCCATGAGATTCTTCAAGAGGTTATTAAGAGCTTAAGATTGTTTAACATCTTACCGCATGAAGGAGAAAGCTACTTTTTCTGTCCGAACCATGTGGTTCTGGAGGATGATTATGACTTTATCTTCCATTTTGCTCTCATTCTGCGTTACTTGTGCTGTCCGGTTTATTGTGGAAAGCCTCATGGCTTAGTAGTAAAGTGTGGGTCACCGCGATTGATGGCTCCCCTATCCATGCTAACTAAAATTATCCACGAATTACAACCACCGAGTCATCTCTTTGCTTTTACACCCTTTCCTTCTGAAAGTATGAAGAAAAATGGTCATGGTCGAAGCATAACTATGGTTTTCCAATCCTCTGATATAGACTCAGCTGCGAGATACTGTGTATCTTCTTTGGAAAATGCTCTGGGTACTGAGACATGGTACTCATCAATCATTTTAGTTGAAGAGTCTGTTCACAAGCGTTTTATCGATCGTGTTGAGAACATTATTAGTTCTTGTATATCTGTTTCTTCTGAAACTGTAGAGTCGAAGCAGTTGGAATATCCATTATACTGCTTAAGTTATTTCGATGAAATTGTGTCACAAATAAGCTCTGTTGGCGCTAAAGTTTTATGTCTGGATGGGAAAATACGTCATTTTCCATTTATTGTGCATGATATCACTCCATCGTTTGTCAAAGTTAGGAGGCATATTGGCCCTGTTGGATTTGTTCTTTGTTTCCGTTCTGTTAAGGAGAGTGTTTCCTTATTGAAATATTTCTCTGATCAATTCAATAATTTCAGGTTAAGTAACGTCACATCAACAAGCTGGGAGCCGGTGGTAAACATTTGGCAAACTGATTCCAATGTAATTTGGCAACTCTTTGAAATGCTGTGGCTCTCTGGTGTGGATAATGTTTTTGTTAATGCTTCTAGCCGGCAGTTGTCAACCACAATGTATGCCAAGCTTTTTGAAATAAATGGTTCACTATCATTCTTAAGGGGAAATTTAAAGTTGGAAACTGAGACAACATATGCAACAGTGACTTCACTTGTATCTGCCGCTAATACTGCTCAACTCACTTGGATTAGTAAAGGCTATGAATCGATTCAATGTGAACTGCTAAGAAGTGGGATTTCGCCTGGTATTCCACTTGAAAAAGAAGCATTCAAGTACTTCGTGCGCCATACTCACCAACTATTAGGAGATCCATGCCGATTGTTTCTCACCAGCAAAAGGCAAGGGACACTTCTTGTTCCCATAGCTCATTTTTGCTTAAAACCGACGGGTCCGATTGCCCTTGTGGTGGATTGTAGGTTTCTGGGTAACCTTAAAAATTGTACTTTTATTTTGAAAATTATTTTTTGTTCCTTATTTGCAGGGAATAGCATTGTTTTATTTGTAACAAATATTGAAGGATTTAGTGTTCTGAATATACTGTTGGTTGGATTATTCTGATTTGGTAATCTTTATCTGGTCAAGTAAGAGATTGTAGTATTTCAGACAAATTTGTGTCTAAGGTCCATTGGATTAGCGAATAAACAGGCTACTTGTACCATACACAAAGTATGATTTGGTAAATGTTTTGTCGTTTCGCCACCCATCCATCATCCGAATCAACATAAAACCAAGCATTACTGCGTAACGGTCCGAGTTGCCACAGCTTATATCAGTACATCAAATAAAAAGGCAGCGAAGTATAAGATGAAGAAAAGGAAATTCAGTCAAAAGAAATATAAAGTACTAAAAGAGAGAAAGGAAGAATGAGGAAGTGGTGAGACTCGGTATAGTGTCGTTAAGATGAGGATAATGTGTATACATCTGCACCGCTGACATCGGTTCTGAGCCATATCGCCTAGAGTCTCTAACCACTGGTTTCACCATTGCCCCACTCGTTTTGCCACCTGGTAATGAGGAATTTTACTGGAAACTTCGGTTGAAATGTTTTTCAGTAACTGACAAAAGTCAGTATTAAGTTATAAATCCATTGGCATGAACATTTTCGAACCGCCTGTTTAATATTCTGAGGGCTATCATCAGTGTTCAAGAGTTATCTGGCCTAAACTAATTCTTGCGACGAATGATGGGGGCAGTGTTCTAACCAATGTTTTGTTGGTCAAGTTCATCCCAACAACCATTTGGAAGTTTGTGTAATAGCTCCGGCTTTGTTAATGCTGTGTGCGTGCTAGTTGTACAGTCTTCTAATCGTTCGTCGAATCTTTCTGCACGAAAATATCTCACTGTGTAACGAATGTTCTATCTACTCATTCCACTCACATTTATTTCGTTAGTTTTACATCTGAACTATACTTACGATCATATATATATATATATATATATATATATATATATATATATATATATATATATATATATATATATATAATATATATATTCCAATTGGTTGTTTCTCACCGAATAAGGTTTTAGTCTTTCTGCATCGTCTTAAGTCACTAGATAGTTGCTTTTAGAATTCTTTTCTGCAGTTAGACGGCTGATGCAACCATTCTGAGACGACACCAATGGCTTAAGCCGACTACCTTCAACTTATGGGTCTTGATGCAGACTAGATAACAGACAAGTTTCATTACAACCTTGGAAAACACCGCCGTTGATACATTGTGTTTCTCAAAGATTTGCATGGAAGAACATAGTGAAGTGCCTCAGATAACTTTTCCATTTATCAGCCGGGAAACTTATTAACGGCGCGCTTATCCACGAAATCTCTGGCGTCAGTGACCTGTCTTTCTGTTGTTGATACCTCCTTAAGCAACGGAAACAAAGGTACACTAGTTAGCTGTATCCTAATCAGCGGTCATTCTCGATCGGAATGAGAAGTAACTGACAAGGGAGACGATGACTCTTCGTCATCTGTTTCTATGCCCCAAATGACTAATTCCCAGATGGAGTTACTGACGTTCTATCATCATTTGAGTGACCATCTGTACTAGTTGCCCTGGACCGATGTTTCGTGCTGTCTGGGGACTTAAATGCACATCTTTCTTTCATCTAAACCCAGACGACGTTCGTTTATGTGGTCCATGATGGTTAGTTAGTTGCAATTTAGATAGTGAGAATCATCTGTTGCTTTTGCGTAAGTCACAATCTGTTTTTGACCAGCACCGACTTTTGGCGCAGCCATTACTGTTGTGCTACCTGCTACCCTACCACAAAACTGAGCTCGAATGGATCATATTGCAATCAACTAGCCATGATGTGGGTGCATTCAAGGTTGCTGCTACTCTTAGACTGCCTGCCCGAACTCCGATTACGGTTTTACGTGTGCTAAGTTAATCTTATGTTTTCGTGGTCACCTAGGTTGTCTGAAAAGGGTCAAGTTAGCCAACTGGTTGCAGATAGTATTGCGACTAAATACTAAACCAAGTTAGATTCGGTGCTACGCAGAAGGTATAGATGAGCATTGGCTGCACTTACAAGACCCCGTGAAAGTGCCAAGTAGAGCTGTCTGTGGGTTTAAAGAACGTCTCACTGATGAATACTAGGTCTCTACAAGGTCCTTCCAACTTTTTACTCTCGTCGGCATATTCTGGCAAGTAGCGAGTACAGTGGTGTTCGTTAGTGCCTTACGCAGGAGATCAAGCGGCATTTGCTTGAAGACTGCAAAAGGTGGTGATCAGAACATGTGAGTGAGTTGAAAGCAGCAGCTTCATGTAGCTACTGTCAAAAGCTGTTCCAACTCATCTAAGCCACTGCTGACTAGAAGCCTGGTGTCAGTGAGACGGTCCTTGAAGTAGATAGTACGTTAATCACTTAGTGTTATAGACACCTAGGACACTGGTCGGAGCAATTTAGCTTGTCTACTGCTAGGACGACATCGACGTCAGCCTTTTTGTGCCCCAACGTCAATTATTCTTCTAGCGGAGCTGATATTCTTAAGGAACTCCAAGTTTTAAAGCACATAACTCTTTGGAAATGAGACGGTAATCAGGGGATTGACTGCGTTGTTTGGAAAGGTATTGTAGACTGAAAACATCCTATCACTCTAGAGTGAAACCATCGTTGTATACCTCTTTAAAAAGGGCCTATGTACTGCTTTTGATAATCCGGGTATCAATCTGCTACCAGTAAGGTTTCAAGTGTTGGCTGTTATCATGATTTGCAGATTGTGCAAAATACATGAGAATTCGACTCACCAGTAGTAGACCAGGTTTCTTCCAATCGTAGATGCAGTGATCACGTGTTCACCCTATACGACGACATACAGGGTACTCGAATCGCACTCAGTCATTTGGTGATCAGTATCCGTATGTACGTTATTCGCTTTGCACAACTGGAGTGCAAAGTGGTTCTACTAGATTAGCAAGAGCCTGTACGTGCATTCATCATTGGTGGTGAATCACTGGAAGCTGTTGAAGAGTATATAAATCTGGGTAGTTGTGTCTGTGCTGATGGCATGATGGATGAGACCTCCAATCTTATGTCGGAAATCAGAGTCACGTATGCTAGTTTGAGTCACCTTCAATGCTCTTGTGGTGCTAACCCTGTAAAAGAGTACAAATACGTCGATGCCGTTAGTACTTTTGTACACCTGTGAAGCCTGGCTTCTTCAAACTGATGATGTGCGACGACGATGCGTGTTCACCATCGTTCGCTCCATGGCATTAGTACCATCAGATGGAAACACTATGTAGGTAATTTTGAGGTGAAGTGACCTGTGTTCAGGCACGGTAGGGATTTTTTTTCATTGAGCGAGATTATCTTGAAACATCGACTTAGACACGGCTTAGACACGTGTTACTTAGTATTATTCTAGCGCCTGTCGAACTGTTAACTATTCGCTTACCCTGGGATGGGTTGGACTAAGCTAGAAAGTGGCTAGTGTATGACGTGGCCCTGTAGGACCAAAGATAGTTGTTAGATTAACATCTGTAGGTGCTTCACAGCTCCCTGGATAGGGGCCGAGAGGTCATGCAACTCAGTGGCTTCAGGCAATAATAGACATTGTTTAGGATTGAAAACAGTAGCGATTATGCTGCAGTTTTCTTGCTTTTTTTCTATGGGAAAAGTAAAACGAAAACAGTGAATGTACTTCTCTGGTTGTATACTTGAGATTATTTCTTTGATAATCTTCTTGTTTTTCTTCCTGTTCTCCCTTCAGTTTTCTACTTTTTTTAGATTTCGTTTTTTTCTCTTGTATGATGTGTATATCTTAGTGCCCATGTTCTATTTAGTTTGTGTTCTAAAATAAAATACCATTTATCCGTAGTTATAACAATAACTTGAAATTCTGGTTTCATGGATAACAACTAGTAAGATTACGTATATTTGTTGTTACAGTTTGTCCTTTTAGTACATACACACCTGTTGTCCTTGCACTATCAACTATTGTTAACCACTGATTAAACTATATGATGTACATCTGTGGATTGAAGGTTTGTAACTTAACTATTGAGAAGTATAAGGTAGTATAAATTCAGAAATGCTCTCGATTTAAATCCTAAAGTTGTCATATATTTGAAGGTCAAATAAAAATCTAGTTCGTTAGAGGATTCAAACCAGCGATCAGCCTGTGCTCTTCCAACTGAGCCACTAGATCCAGCTGTTAATCATATCTTTATTTCATTTCAATCACCAAGGGTTTTTCTTAGTTGCATCATGAATTCATGGTGCATAACAATGATTGAAGTTGGTAGAGGAGCGGTCCGGGAATCTTGAGGTCCCTGGTCCGAATCCTACCGTGACTCACACCTTCAGTCCACCCTCAATTATCACCTAGTATGAATAATGCAAGCCTGCTGAGCCATGGTTATCTCAGATAGTCAAACCGATTATCTTATGCGTCTATCAAAAGCAATAATAAAGCAATGTTTGTATAATATATCGGTGTACCAATTAAAACTTATATTCAACATTGAAATAGTAAGTAGACAGAGTGATATAGGATTAAAATGCAGTATCGGAGAATTACTATTGACAAGGGTACGTGAACACATGAACTATATAACTTATAATGGTAACTAGTTAACTGAGCAAGCAAATAGAAAAGAGGTCAGTGTAAATGGTCAGTTACAAACACTGGATTTTTTAGAGTCCATTGAGTTACGGAACGATTTGTGAAATCGTAATTTCTTAAGCGAATCCACTCTTTTTGCTGTTTAGATTAAAGATAGTTTCGCCGACTGATTTGGCAGCTTTTAAAAACTCCTGTTTGCTTACTGATTTCACGCTATCCATCCTTAGTAGGTTTAAATTATTCTTTAAACATTATGATTTGAGCAGAAGTTATGTTGAAATGTATGATGGGCTTGCGCAAAGCAGTTTAAAAACGATCTAATCACATATTTACTTGTATGGAAGAGTGGTAATGTACTTACCATAGGAACTGACGGTCATGGATGTCCACTGCTAGGGAAGCTTCAAGCCGGAACGAAACGACTATTCAATGCTTCCAGGTTTTCAGTGGTTTTCTGTTTGATATCAGTCCGTGTTGAAGATCT